ACAAGAATCTGAAAATGTAATTAGGTCATTTTGACCTAATTTGACTTAATCCTCATTTTGATGTGATGGCTCACATATTACATCTGATCAGACAGATGCAAACATTGCAGGCTGAGGCACACTAAGTCAGGATGTGCACAGTGTCATCAGTAACATGATAAWTATCTTCARTTTACGGAGGCGGTGCTTTGGAAAGGTTCACACCACGTGCTGCTTGCTGAGGAAAGTGAATTAACAAGATGCAGATTCAAATCACACCAGGATTGTTTTAATATTTTTTAATCGCTTATTGTGTTTTTGCTTCTTTGTTCTGTTATGTGTGACGTTATGACTGATCATTAATGTTGTGTACTGTTGTGGTCAGGTGTAGGTGCTGGCATGAGGAGAGTAGGCAGGAAGCCAGAGGGCGAAGGCTTCAGACCTCAGGGCGATGGCTTCAGACCCCAGGGTGGGCCAGGAGGAGAGGGCCGGACCCCTGCAGACAGACGACCTGTGGACAGGCGGCCACCTCGGCGCTTTGAGAGACCTGCAGGTGACGCTGGAGAGAAACCTGAGGGCGGTGAATTCTCYGTGGAAAAGTGAGTCCCATTTTAACAGCATCAATGTTTAAAACACAAAGTTAAAAACATTTTTTTCACTAAAGGAAAGGAGCAAAATGTTTGTTTCCAAGTTTTACAAGACTAAAAAAGTGATTGCAAAATGTCAGATTAGTCTAATCAATAAATTGTAAGAAATCATTAATTTTAATAAACTTTTAGGTAGGGATGGGTATCGTTAAGGTTTTATTGATACTACTACTCTTATTGGTTGATCCGGTATTTTAACTGTTCTCTATTCAATACTTTTCTATCCGAACAAAAACAGTGTTTCCCCCCAAGGGAATTGGGGCGGGGGGTGTTTACACACAAAACATAAATAAAATAAAATAACTAGTGCACATGACTCTGTGGGTCAGTGTTGGCGACAGAATATGAACCATATTTTCATCAGATTTTTTCTGTCTGATGTTTTGGATGTGGAGGAACAACTGCAAAAATAGCTCTCAATGTGATCTGGTGTTATTTAGAATAAATAAATAACTACATGCCTGAAATTCTGTGTGTGTGGGTGCGGGGTGGGAGGTGGCTTGGTTAATGGTGGGGGAAACGCTAAAAAACAAAAACAAACTATGAATATGCAATGCTTTTACATTAGAACAATATAGATAGAACCTACAATAAAGACACTTATTCCTTAATTGGCATTTAGCTACACTAACCTGGAGTCATGATGTAAATCATGTCTTCAGAACACGTCTGTACCGTGTTGCCAGATGTACGATAATTATCGTA